GTACAAGACGATGCATATTGTGGGTTTTTATTTATTTATTTATTTATTTATTTTTGTAGATTATTTATAGTAATGTTGCTGTAGTGTATTAACTTTTTTCAAAGTAATGAGGATCGATACTGGATGAACTTTGCAGCTTGTTATTACAATTTGTGTGTACATAGGTTATATATTTTGTTTATTCTACTGCATTAAGTGAACTGCATTCAATATATTCAATGTTCCTATTGTTTATGATTCAGTCGTGCATAAATAGAGGATATTCAAGTTCTTTTTATAAATACAGGATTTATTTTCATCAAGTGGTATGAAAACATCAAGTGGTATGAAAATAAATAATTTCATTAGTGGCGATAGCCACAAGTTAAATATGACCATTTTCATACCACACGAGAAAGATAAATTCTGCATTTATAGAATAAAACTTGAAGTTTTTATTTATTATATACATTTCTTTTTTTTAAAACTTGAGGGACACCTAAACATTTTGTGTATTGGCTGAATTTAAGAACGAGTCTGGCAAGACACCAGTGAAAAAAAAGGAAAATATATTTAACTGCAATGAAAATAAATGTTTGCATTGAAAATACGGAAAATAAAAATACACATTTTATTTCATCAATATTGCTCAATATTTCATTTACAAGTATATAAAAGATTATTTATACATGTATAATAGTAATGAAAATATATAATCTTTCATAGTAAAGCCAGTATATTTGGGTCAAGCACTGGACCAAACTAACAGGACGGTGGGGAAGGCGACATTTATGTGTGCAGATGGAAGTCTTATAGATATGATATCAAAATGTGATAGGCACAGAGACTGTTTAGATAACTCTGACGAACTGAACTGCAGTAAGTCATAATTATATTACATGAAGAAATATTGTTCTGTATAGAGTTTATAATTGAAGATATTGTAAATGTAAAATTATTGAACATTTGAAAAGATATGAACCGAACTTGGTGAATACTGGTTATATATTTATTTGTGACACGCTTTTTTTATACAAATGTGTTATACATATATTGAAAAAAAAACACACATATTTTGCATAATGTTTGTCGCGAATATTTCTTTACAAACGCGTAACGCATATAAAACAAAAAAAAAGGTAAAAACATGTCATGATTTTGGTAAAAAGGTAATTCATGTAGGTACCAAGGGAAGCGCATACAGAAGTACATATACGCATATATGGGTACAATCTTCCTTTGCATGTATTGGTACAAATATGTCACGCAAACGAGGATTGATGAAAAAGTTCTTGGCCCGATGTACTTCCGGTAGTTAAAGAACCCTACTAATGGTCTTACTTTTCAATATAATTGCCCTATATATCAATGCACTTTGCCAACCTGTGCTCCAACGTATTTAAATCTTCAAAATAGAACTCTCTATTTTGGTCCTCAAAGAACTCATTGACAGTTTGTCCCTCCTTTTACGCGCTATCCCTTGACAGACGTCTCAATTCGTACTGTTTATAGTACGACCTAGCTCAAGATGGTCAATCATGTTTATCCTGACTATCCCAAAAAACTGAAGCCATCATCTTCCCTGCTGATGGCACCCACTTGAATTTATTCGGAGGGGGTGAGCCAGGGTGCTTCCACCGCATGCTCTGTTTTTTTGGATTCTGGATCGAAGTGATGGACCCATGTTTAATCCTGAGTTACAATCCGGTAGATAAAATCAGTTTCATTCTTTAATTCAGCAGCCCATTTTTTCACAGTGCTAGAGGAAGGGGACTCCTTCCCAAGTGTATCCATGAAGTCTTCACGACGGCTCTGTACATTTGGTCTAAATGACACACCCCTCTACTGATCAAAGTGTGTTTAATGTAACTTAATGTGTGTAAAACCGCGTGTAACTCGGTCAGTAATCTTCAATAAGATATTGGTATCGACGTATTGTGTGTAAATGTCAGTGTAGTGGCTTGAAGCATATCGGGCCAAGAACCTTTTGATCATACCTTGTATATAGGTAATAATATATAGCGCATTTAAAGGTTCAAATGTATGTATTCCACGCATATATTTATAGGTACAAATATGTCACGCACATATATAGAACAATATTGATGGTCGCTTTAAATGGATGATGAAATTTCAGATCATGCTCTTCCAGAATAATAATGTATTGTGACAATTACACAACAATAAAAATTGTACGACCACTTTTGCTATGATTTGCAGAAAAAAATCGATTTTAGATCTAATTCTCATTGTGCATGTTGTGTTTCTTGTATTTTATGCTTTTTGGTGTATCACTAGACCTATGTAAGAATGTCAATTTTTTCGTCTTTAGGTGTTTGGCCCTCAATGGAGTACCTTAAACATATTATTAATTATATCGTTGTGTGGAAACATTTCCGAACATGTAATTGAAAAATGATCACATACATGTAATGTCAAGTCTAGGATATCAACAGTTTTTGAAAAGCAATTTATCGATGAATATATTGCCTCCTTTATTTGCCCTAATACATAAATCATTATCTTTGCACGTGAAAATACAGTCCGGTACCATTTAAGTTACATACAAAGTAAACTATTTAAAATAAATAAAAACAAACATCGTTTTTGGCGATTTATTAAAATACTGTTAACAGCGCTTTAGGCATTTCATAAAAATGCTGAAACACTTCAGTATTTGTTTTTCTAACGCTCATGAAACCTTTATCTTACCGATATTGCACTGGTAAATAAAGTAGAAAAAAGTGAAACAGTCATTGTGAGTGATATGGCAAAATGTAGTTTAGAGTATATTTGCATGACTTCAGGCAGAATTGTATCCATCTGTATTTAAAATACACTAATACAACCATCAGTACTTTAAAAAATTAAATAATTGATTATTGAGCATATTTTAAGCTATATACATGTACCAAGTCCAGCTTTATACCGACTACCATATAATATGTTCAGCTATATACCGACTTGCGTTCAAGATTAAGCTGCCTGATAACACACTGTACTATATTTAATGTGTGAACAAGTCGAATACTTACTTATTTTAGGTGCTTATTAATGTACTGTTTTTATCATTATTTTTATTTTGCTTAGAGTATACAAATTCGGAATGTGGAATACATGAGTTTCAGTGTGAAGATACTGAACATGTACAGTGTATCCCAATGAGCCGATATTGTGACTATATCACCGATTGCGCCGACAAATCGGACGAATTGACCTGTAGTAAGAATTTTTTTTATATTATTACACATCAACCATTGAGGGTGTTTCTTGTCATATAAAGATAGTAGTGAACGTGTACAACTAGTTTCCGAAATTTCAATACTATAATACAAGTATACCAGATAACTGCTGGTTAATTAAGATAATTCCGCAAAGTCGGCAATGTATGATTTACATTTATCACACACCCCGTGCCGATTTTGCGACTCCATAAATATGGTATTGCACGGCCAGAGCCAGAGGCTCGCATAATATAAATTTATTTAACTTGTGCAATAAATTTATTTAACTCGTGCAATAAATTCAGTATTGAACTTACACTCATTCAATATCCTCTATTTAGTGGGTTCAAAGTGAATGCAGGACAATAAAAAGTGAGATATGATAAAATAAAATGATGAACAATTTGCAGAAACACTTTCAAGTCTATGTTTTTTGGACTAACATATAAAACTACATATTTTAACAATAAGAATATTTACCTTGAATGTGCAAAATTTCTAAAGACAAATTCAAATCTTTGACCTTAATTTCCTTGGTCTTTAATAATATAGCACATTCAAGATATATTTCTTATTGTTTTAATTTTTAGTTTTATGCTTACCGGCCCTTAAAGTGTAATTGCAAATTGTTTTATTTTAAAATTCATCTTTAACAAACTTAGTTAAAATCTAACATGGCTGACAATGCGGAATAACCTTAAAGAATGAGTAGGTTAATAGATTTTCCAAACCTGAAAAATGTCTTAAAGACATCGATAAAAATAGAATAGTTACCCATGTATAACCTTTACTGTACGTATATGACACAATTTCTTAGTTTCCTGCCCAATCAAAAATGAATGTATTGTGTAAATATTGTTGATCATACAAAATGTGAATATAGAATAAATAATTTTTAACATAGTTATTTTGATATAGTATGTATTAATGCAGGTCATAATTCTTAAGAAATTGATGTTGTACTTATCTCTTTCAGTCCGTCCAAACTGCATGGTTGGTGAATTTCGCTGTACAAATGGACAATGCATATCAAAGGGAGATAAGTGTGACATTAAAGTTGATTGTTTTGATGGTTCGGACGAAACAAATTGTGAAGATGGTATATTTCTTTAGACCCTGACTAGATTACTTTTAACATTATTTACATGTAAATAAAGTATATTACGTCTCTGATGTGTTATATTTGTATTCTCAATGCAGTTAATTCAGTTGTGTTTTTTTTTCTTTTCTTTTTTTATATTAATTTCTTACGCATTGAGGTTCGACTTCTTGGGGGAAGTGGCTTTGTTTTTCTTTTTTCCGCCAATATTTTCTTATAATTATTCTTATATAATGTTTGATGTTAAACTCTTTGTTCGTTAAAAATGAGATGAAAATAAAAATTCTGATATCAAATATGATGTTACATCTTAATCCCTTGCATGTCTGCCTGATTAACAATAGAACGTTAAATCCAGGGGTTATGGCAGTTGTTCAAAAAAATTTAGTCTCACGGTCATTTGTCTCTAACTGCTTATTCAGAAATCGTATTGGAGAGTATTCGGTTAATAACTTTCAGGGGTACAATGTATCAGTAAATAGGTGTAAGTTATCCAGAACATGTTTTAAACAGCGTTAACACCGACCTTGCTTTCTTAATTGACTGTAAAATGATGCCTTTTTACATTATATTTTATCCTAACTGATCACATAATACGATGTATGATAATTTTGTATACCTTTTTATCCACTTAAACAGTTGACTGTACTGAATCAGGAAATTTCTTTAGTTGTGATGGTGAAAGTGTGTGCATCCCGATGAGTAAAGTATGCGACGGATTTGTAGACTGCCCAGGTAAGACATTGAAAAAAAGAGATTTTTTTATATCACTGTGTAGTAAAACAAAGCAAGTTTTTATACTTAGTTTCATAACTTACAGTCCTACTTATTGCATATGCGATGGTCATGTGACTGGATTTTGTCGGAGCAGCTAACGCATTCAAATGTCACGCTGCCTTAATCAGTGTTGTCATATTTTCAATAGGTGATATTGATTTTCATTTGTAATAAAGAGAAAACATACATTAACTTTATGACTGATATGATATTTGACATGGTGATCCAAAACCTCTTTAATGCCCGGCATCATTTCAGAATGTTATATTACAATTGCTTGTACCAATTGCTAAAAATATGAGCGTATCCTTCGTTTTCTATAGTACTAGATTCATTGTTTGTTTGTTGTTATTGTTGTGATTTTTGTGAAAATGATATAAATGTGCTGTTATCTTTTTGACTGCAATGATGAGAGCATTATTTAAAGTAACGTCACAAATGTTTATTTGACATAGCGGGACCAGAACTTTTTTGGAGAGGTTTGTTTTTCTAGATGAATGCTAGATAAAAACCCCAGTTAATCAAATAGGAAAGAAATACAAAGTTTATGTTTTCAGGCCTTTACATTTCAGTTAAGTTCCTTAAAAATGCTCGTACTTTCTTGATTTTTGCAAGTGCCTTGTAATATTTTAGGACGATTAAAGTCTGATGAGAGCGGTTGCGAACATGTAATGGTGAAAGAAAATTGTGAACAGTGGTGAGTGCTGAATATACAAATATACTAAAATTTGTACGACTTATGACCTGATTTTCTTATTTCATGGCATGAGGACCATAAATTATAATTCCATAACTTTGTAAAAATAATGTCAAGTCCAAATATATATACATACTGCGGTTTTGTGTATTTGGGTATAAGTTAAACAAAGTGTATGTCTTTTGTGGACTAATTTCTGTATTAAAGCGGGAACCAAATATATTCAGATTTAGGATCTTTAAATTAAAATGAAACCACTAATATGAGAAAAATGTAGCATAGGAAAAGAAAAACATGTTAGTATATAAAAATTTGAAACTGGAAATATTTGAAAATGTCACCATGGTTATTTCAAGATTGTCGTCCTATTTTTTATATTTTATTTTTTCTTCACGTGTTCTTTCCTTACAAATTATGTTCTTGCATTTTTTGCAAAGATTCTCTAAGTCAAAATGTTACACCTGTAAGGTAGAAAGAACTTGTTGCAATAAAACAACAAAAGTTTGGATATAATGTGCTTTCCCATGAAAAGGCAGGTATTTTTAAATATATTCCATAATTTTGGGACAATTTATCACAAAATCTGGAGGAGGAAAAAGTTAATTACAACGTAACGTCTGTTGTACATGTCTTTCAGCCATTTTTGCATACATACCAAGAAGAAGGAAAAGAATTGTAGGCGTTTTACTTGTTTATATAATAATCATATAATATAGTAGATAAAAGAATGCACGTGCATACCATCTCACCGTAGTTTATCCATAAATGTTACTAAGCTCGGAAATGTTAGGGTTCATGCTATCATATAAATGTTTATACTGTATCACTTAGAGTTTTTCAGTTTTTTTTCAAGCAAGATGTTTCTTTCTTATATGCAAATGAAACTGTTTTGTCACTTTTTCCTTCTAATACATCGGCATTTATAATTATAAACATATTATACAAACAAACAAATGATAAACATTTTTTATAGCCGGTGTCGTAAATTTGAAAATACCGCTTGGTTATTGGCAATCCAAACTATAGTACAAGGACCCTTTGCACCGACGTTAGGAAAAACGTAACAATATTAACGTGAAAATGGTGTGTTTTTCAAAGTTTACATAATTACATTCTGTCTTGATATAGGTATGCAGATGGTTTTCGTCAATCAGGCACATACATAATTGACCTTGCAAAGAAACTCGCCGATGGAGACAACGACGGTAAGATGAAAGGGGTTTGATTTGTATAGAAATCACCTGTTGACACCGTTACTTCTATAACTGTACCTCAAATGAAACTATTGAAACATTAAAATTAACACCAAATGCTGTTTGAGTTATGTCATTATTAGTCATCTCTGTTGATATATTTATAATAATATAAATTCTCAACTTCCAGCAAATCAACATATTTAAGAAATACACATAGACTAAACTTTTACTTTCTGGTCACTTTGGTTGAAACTTATTCAGTTCGAGATAAGTGATATGACGTAGGTTTATTTAACGCCAAGTGTGATTGTAATTTAAGCTAATGGTTCATTTAACTTTTTTTTACTGTAGGTTTGCTCAACTTTTAAACAAAAGGTCCGTTTGACTTTAAAGTATAGATTTGTTAACAATTTCGCTGAAGCTATTCGGTAAAAGATATTAATATCCAATGCCGAATAAATTTATTTAGTTACATATAGGGTTTTTAATATTTAAAAAAGCTCCATTTGACTTCAAAGCGTATCTTCTTGCAACAACAAAAAGAAAAGAACAATCTCTTGAAATCTAAAGCACAAGTTTTATCAATGTATGATTGTTTAGCACTTATACTTAAATTTGTTTATTTATCAAATTGTAGGCTCGTTTACAGTGGAATGTGAATTTGATGAGGCCTCAGGCATCATTTCAACAGTACTCCATCATACCAATGAAGCCTCTGTCCGCCTGAAAGAATTATTGGAAACCTACCATCTGGAGTATAATTCGGCAATAAAAAGGTGAAAATATATAGAGGATATTGAAGTTTTTCTCTAAAGAAAAGAATTTAATTTCATCGAGTGGTATGAAAATAATTATTTCATGAGTGGCGGTAGCCGCGAGTTGAATATGATAATTTTACTACTGCAAGATGCAATATGCAATTCAAGAGGTCTTTTAGTATAAGAGTTAAATTAAATCAAAATAGGACATCTGATATTATTTTGAGATAGAAATAATGTTTAAACGTAATTCATGTCATCACTGTCGAAAATCTTTTACAATGTTGATTTCGTCTTGCAGTACACTGAATCCAAACCAGAACCTTGTAGGTATCATGGCAAGCTTTGGTTCAAAGTGTTTACAAAAGATTGAGGTGGAGTGTTTTCAGGTGAAATATTTGTTTCATTTTTTTATTTCTATTATAATTATTATTATCATTATTATAATAATTATTATCATTATTATTATTATTTTAATTATTATAATTTTTATCATTATTATTATTTTTCTTATTATTTTTATTATTATTATTATTATTATTTATATTATTATTATTATTATTATTTATATTATTATTATTATTATTATTATTATTATTATATACTAGGCTTATCTGTAGGTAAACCACTTCTATTGAATATAAAGCTGACATTTTTAATGACAATATGTATTCACTGTGTGTTTAAATAAAGTGTGTGTAAATCAAATCATACCATAAATTCTTTAAGTGCAATCTCACCTTCACTTAGATACAATAGCATTCATCAGTATTTTCAAATATCAAAATTTAGCATAATATTAAGAAAACAGTCTTTAGAATATTATTTGAAATCTGTAAATTGAAAGAATTTCTTATGAAATAACTATCATCGTAAAACTCTTTGAATAAGAATATTCAAGTTCTTTAAACTGCTTACTGTTGTGTTACAATATCATATCCGATGTTGTAAAATACGCCGAGGTAGAGAGTGGCTCCATGGAAGTGGAAATAATATTCGAGAGAATACTTTCTATATTCGGATAAAAAGCATTCATCAACTTAAGCAATAATATCAATTGTCATTTAACAATTTCTGTCACGTTCAGTGCATTTTCCGCTTAATATCATTTCTATAATTATATGTAAAACTTTAGGCACCTGACATAGACGATGACATTAGAATCATTGGGTATGATGGGGTTCCGCATACATCATGTCGTCCCTATAGACAAGATTGTCTAAATAAAGACGGAATCCCAATGTGTAACGTGACCCGGTAAGACAAACATTAATAATACTGAATATTCTGTTATACTTTTATCTAAATAATTAATATGTGATTATTTACCATCTTGTTTGTTAATTTCCATATCAAATGTAATTTCATATCAAACAGTCTTATCAACAATATTTAAATTTAGCCTTTCTATCATTTTAAGAGTTAAAGAATTCTTTTGATCGGGTTTAATGTCTCACCGACACAGTATAGGTCATCTGGCGACTTTCCAGCTTAGCTTTACTGGTAAAAGAAGACCTCATGTACCTCTCATAAGTTCAGGCACAAACGGACACGGTAGAAGAACCACCGATATAAACCAGTTGGATAGCTTTCTCACATCACAATGCGACGACGCTTGTTTAAGAAGTCAACATCAGTTCATTATTGTACTAGAAGTAACAAAATCAAATATTGTGGTGTAAAATACAATGTTTATTACAATATTGATTCTATTAGAATTAGCTGAAAAAACCTATAAAAGGCTTGGCTAGCTATGTTAGCGCCTTTTCGAAGATAGGTTTGACATTAGTGCATCCATACACCATCATTTTTATAATTGACAATGAAAAATAGCTTAATTAATTGTATATAATTGTTCATACGATTCAATAATATTTTGGTGTCATTAAAATTTTTAAGTTATTTGGCATAATATAAAAAGTCTTTATATTTATTACTATTTTCTCGTTTTATGTAAAAGTTTTTCTTACTAGATGAACATGACCAAAACGTCGTGCAAATAACAAACAACACTAACATGAATGATGTTTTAAATAGTTTCTATTTATGTCACTTTCAATTGCATTGACATATATTTTATAAATAATTATTATTGCAATTGTGCTTTACAAGAACGTTTTGATGTACATATGTTTTTAAAACTGATACTTTCAGCTGCAATTGTTTGTTAAGCAAAGCTGATTGGTTAACTATGCCACGTAATCAATGGTTCAAAGACGTATTTTTTATTGACAACCCGGACTATATGCCAATAAGAACAATGCGAATGCGGGGTGCCAAGTATATTGGTCGACTGAACATTGCCATTGGTCCCCTAGTCTGTAACTCTAGTAAGTAAAAGAATACATTATCTTAAACATGTAGTTTGAAAGTTTCATGTTACTTGTAAAGAACCGTCTCTTTAAGGGACAGAAAAGTAGGACTCATCTTTTCTACTTCAATAGAATCATGAAATCCTGTAAAACTAAACTCTCTTTATCATACAATGTTACTTTGAAAATTGCTTCATGGCAAGGAGAAACAGTGGAACAGTTTAACCCTTAGTATGCAAGGATTTATATTGATTTGATTTTGTCACCGGTTATGGCAATGCGTGCAGTTTGACTAGACTCTATAAGCTGACTGTCTTTATTTTTTTTTATTTTTAATATCCCTAAATTAACAATGGACAGTTTCAATCAAGTTCATATCAGAAATTCAACAATATGATAACTTAAAAGATATCAATGTTTGTATTATAGCCATGCTGAAGACGTCTTCTAGAATTAAATGTAACAATGGCAAAGTGGTATCAGCAGGTGCTCGATGTTTATATAACATAGACAGCTACGGGTCAGTGACTGGTTGTCGTGATAACACGCATCTCTTGGACTGTGGTACAGTTTTTGTTAAATAATGATTTTTTGTTCATTAAGAAAAATGAAAGAATGATGAAAAGTTTTACATCATTCTGTAAATTGATTTTAATTTCACACTTTCAGGTGGTCATTTCTTGATAAAAAATATACGTATCTCAAACACGTATTCTTTTGATAATGATAAATTATTTATATATAATTATATAATCACAAATGTTTAATCATAAATTTTTTTCGGGGGGGGGGGGGGTTCGAGTGGTTAAGGTCGTCGACCAAATTACTTGACTCTCGCCGCTGTGGGTTAAAATCCGTCCAGGGAGTTTTGATTCTAACATGTGAGGAAATTATCCACGTATCTTATGGAACGTCGGTGGTTTATCTCAAGTGCCCGTTCGTTCATTATGCTAGGAAGGGCATTCGTGGCTTTCCTCTACTTATACAGCTGAAAAGTCGCTATATGATCTTTACAGAGTTTGTTGACATAAAACCTAATTCCCTATTCAAAATAATCATAATGTAACGTCAATTGCACATCTGACTCTAAAATATAGAAAAAAATGCTTTATGAGTAATACATATTCATAACGTTGACCATCTCAGTAAAAATGTAAATGCTATTTCATTTTTTAAAAAAAGTTTCTGTTTGTTGGTTGGTCGGTGTTATTATTATTATTATTATTATTATTATTATTATTATTATTATTACAGACACATTTCCGTGCCCATACGGATTCGTCAAATGCCCCAATAGTTTTTGTATACCGTTGAGTTCTGTTTGTGACGACCGCATTGATTGCGAACATGGAGAAGACGAGATAAACTGCTGTAAGATATTTTGCATATAAATTATCAAATTATTGGAAATAATAACCATTATGAGGAGCTAGTAGATCGATGGTAAAGAATATCTTTATAACCTTTTGATGACAATATCAGATTTCATTTAATTCGTTTAATAACGGATAGAATAACGTTGAAAATACAATGTATTTATATATATAATAAAAATGTCATAAATAATATATATTTATATTAACATGTGTATCATATCACCACCGTTTCAACCATCAAATGAGATAAATATAAAACTTGATACATGCTGCTATGCATCTATACTAATATCATTTTCAAATATTTATGCTTTGTCTCGATTTAAAACTGTTCAATTTTTAAGGGAGGAGGTGTGTGGCCGGAAAGCTCAGTCTGTGAGCCATGGAACTGTATTTGGAGGGATACGGGTTCTAGTCCCTTTCATGCTGAAATTTTTCTCACCATTTGACAGATCTATTTCTGACATAGTCTCAATTACATCTAGATTTCGATACAGATCTTTATAATAATTTTATTGATAGACAAATTTAGGCTGGAGGCAAGAAAGATTGTGTTTCGTGAATATTACTATAAGTCAGATAAAAGGTAAAAACAGTTTCTGCATAAAATATATCTAGTACTTCATTTCTTTTACAGATACGTGGACTTGTCCAAAACATTACCGATGTAGAGATTCAAAAAGATGTGTACCATTTGCTAAGGTAATACATACTTCTATTTTGTCTTTATTAAGGTGTCACTCTGCTTATCGTTGGGTATATAGCAAATGAAAAGGTGAATGTCAAAATAAGTTCCGTTTTGCCATAATTTCTTCCATTTGAACAACTCACGTGGTCCAAGGAAATATATGTAACTATCAATTGGAGTTTACCTGTACTCTATAAAATGACGGGGCAGACTTTTTATGTTTTAGGCAGATTTATATTAACGTCAATATTTTCCAATATCGATCGTTAGTCAATCAACGTTATCACTGTCAATATTTTGAAATATAAAGTCAAATCTGCACATCTTGACAATGAATAAACGATCATAATGTCATTTTAATACAAATTATCAACAAAATACGGCTGCAATGGCTCAACTATACTGTATAGAGGCATTCCGTCTTCGGTATATTTCTTTCATTTATTTATTTAAAGTTAAAAGAAATAAAAATGTGTTCATAAGAAACGGATACCCCCACACTGAACTGTTTGTTTTGTCAGTCTACTGACGTACAGCAGGACAGTATAGCAGAGGGAGAGACAATGGCAATTCGACGTATTCCCCTCCCACCCACCTGTAAGCAGTGGGGCATAAAAACGTCCAATAAATATCCAATATTTCCATTGCTGACATCTTGATTTTTCCAAATATTAAAAATATCATATCTCAATCTTATAACCTAAAGTATGTTTAAAAGAAAATAAAAACAACCAAAAACCAAGATGCACAACTACTACATACACTGACCAACATTTTTGTGAAGTTTCATGACACAAGGTCAAATAATTTAAGCTAGGCGTGACACAAATTTCAAATTTTTTCTAAAACAAGGGCAATTACTCCGATAAACTGAGTCAATCCACACGCGCGCTGCACAGCTTCAACAGTCATCAGTCCTGTAAATTGTGTTAACTCTAGGTGAAGGTTTTTAGGACTACATGTGACACTACATAGGAAACACACGAACAAACACGCACAAACGGACGAACAAGGGCAAATCTCAATGTTCCTTAGAATGGGGGGCATACACACTTTTTTTTTATTTAAAACTAATGAATCTGCCTTATAAGCAGGATTTCTCTTATAATGTTCAACTAAAAATAAAAATAAAATGACTTACATATGTTTCATGTTGATTATTCTGTTTTTATCCAATTTTTCTTCTATTTTTTTAAATATTAATTTATTTCTAGGTTTGTGATAATGTGATCGACTGTTCGTTGGGAGATGATGAGACACACTGCAATTCTACATGTCCGTCTTTATGTACGTGTGTCAAGGGACACACCGATTGCAGCTCAAAGGATATGAAGTTTAAAAGCATAAGACATATCTCAAAGGACACAAGAAAACTCAATTTAAGTCATAACCAAGTCGTTTTTAACGATGACGTTTCTTTCTTTGATGAATTTGATCATTTAGCCGTACTTGGGTTAGCTCATTGCAAGATTTCTGATCTACCGGGGTTGATTTTTTTAAGTTTGAAAAATTTGCAGAAGCTCGATCTAAGTTTTAATAAACTGGTAAGAATTTCAAAACGGTCACTGTTTGGACTTGAAAACCTGAGGGAACTCAAACTTCAAGGGAACGTTTTGTTGTCCGAAGTTGCAGTAGGTGCGTTTAGAGCCTTCCGGCTAATGACGAGTCTTGATTTAAGCGGTTTGTTTCTGAAACAAATAGCCGAAGAAACTTTCGTTGGAATGAATAGCCTCGAAGTTCTGAACATATCTTATAACAAAATTGATACTGTTGAAGACAATGCTTTTAAACATTTACAAAGTTTGAAGAAACTTGATATTCAACACAACGTGATAACTTCGTTCGGTAAAGATTCGTTTGCTGATCTTAATAGCCTGTCATATCTATACACGGACTCGTTCATGTTTTGTTGCATTAAACCAAGTAGTTTAGAATTATCCAATTGCCTTCCACCACCTGATGAGTTTTCATCATGTTCAGATCTTATGAGGAATCAAATTTTGCGTGTATTTATTTGGTTCATTGGAGGATTTGCTTTTTTTGGGAACATTTTATCATTACTGTTTCGTTTTCTGTCAGAACGTGAAGCATTTAAATGTGGTTATGGCATATTGGTCACTAATCTGTCACTAGCAGATATGCTCATGGGCGTGTATTTGCTGATTATATCAATCGCTGATGTCACCTACAGAGGGAGCTATATTTGGAATGATACCACGTGGCGGAATAGTGCGTATTGTTCTTTTGCTGGCGGACTTGCGATATTATCAATTGAATCATCTGTTCTTATCCTTACTTTGATAACATTTGACAGATTTAAATCAATTAAGTTCATGAAAGGCTACAATGCCAAGAAAGCTATTTATTCCTGCATTACCGTCTGGATTGGTTCCATCACTGTTGCAGTTATCCCAATCTTACCTGTGCGGGAACTTCAGAATTATTTTGGGGAATCATTCTATTCCGTTTCCGGTGTTTGCCTCACATTACCTTTGACAACAAAACGTTTGTCTGGATGGAGTTACTCTGCAGGCGTGTTGATAGTGTTCAATTTCGTATGCTTTGTTTGCATTGCAATCGGTCAGAGCATCATTTACTTGACCGTTAGTGGAACAAAAATCATGCTTGAGAGCCCAGATCGTCGCATCGAATTCCAAGCTGCCAAAAGAATATCAACAATTGTAATCGCTGACTTTCTAGCATGGTTTCCTGTTTGCGCTTTTGGTAAGTTATAAGTATTTGATTAGATTCCCTCCCGCGGACAATGTGTAAATTTTACACGAAAAAAAGTAGTAGTTAAAATGACATGTTATATCATATCACATGTACCATAAATAAGAAGTCTGAAACATTAAAAAAAAGAAACAGGATCCCCAGTTTGTTATAACTTTTGGTCGTTTATTTATTATATTTAAGCGTATGTAAATAGATTACCACATATTTTACTGATACTACTATTTTCTATTTATTTAATATATCTGATGAACGTTCATATTTAATAACATTTTGTTTTCCTCATTATGAAAACGAGTCATAGTCAAGTGTTCCAGGAGCGAGTTTGAAACGTGTCTTATTCCATTCATTGAACTGGTTTAATGAATGACCTCAAAAGTAAGAATCCTATTACGTGCGTAAACAACGCTGCTAGTAACCCCCCCCCCCCAAAAAAAAAAGCAAAACACAAGCATGTTAAGCCCCAGTCACATTAGAGCTTACGACCACAGAAGACCAGTTCACGATCACCAGTGACCTCTGGTCGCGGACAATCTTTAGAACGTTTTACAACGGTCATCTGTGATATTTGACAGTCGCAGGTTATCTTATTTAGGTCCCTCCTTGCGATCAAACAGGTCGCTAGTGATCTTACAAGGTCTTAAGGCTGTCGCACGATGGTCGTTCGGAAGTGCGACAATCTTACGACAGTATTTACAAATTGCCACTAGTCACTGATAATCTTAAGTAGTCTTTAGTAATCGTGTGATGGTCGTACGACAAGTTGTAGGTGATCGCATGTTATGTCACGGGTAGTCGTAAGTAATCCCAGGCAATCATGAGACCATCGTACGTTTACTTATGACCTGTCGTGCGATTGGCAATGATGAAAGGTCTTACGATAGTCGCAAAAGTAAATTTATCTGTGAAAAAAATGGTTTTGGTCGCAGACAATCGCTGATGATCGTCAGTTTTACAAGTCGCCGGTGGTCGCAAGTAATCGTAAGCTCTAGTGTGACTGGGGTTTTAGGTAAACCATTGACTTAATAAATGAATAAAGTGCACTCAAACAACAAGCATGGTTTTGTCATGAAAATCATGTTGAGGCATTTATGTTCTGAATGTATATTGCACATCCATCGCCTAGGATGTTATGTAAGCAAAAATTGGATTCAAGTATACCGAATAAAGGTCAACTATGCAATTGAAAGTGTGACTGCTTTTGATATATTTTAATTGATAGAATATATATTATATGCATGCTTGTATCAGGTATTTCATAACACATATACTAACTTTTACAGGGGCAAATGCATTGTACGGTGGCACTGTGAGTGGCGATGTATATACATGGATAGCAGTGTTCGTTATGCCCCTGAAATCTGCGTTGAATCCAATTCTGATCACTTATTCTACTTTTAGTAACTCACAACTGGGTCGAAGGGTAAGAAAAAACTTGTTATCATTACCAAATATTTCAATTTAAGCATATTTCAAATATGAAAACCATGTAACTATTTACTGTTTGAGCAAATATTTCGTTAAATAAAGTAAATCCGACTGTTTTCCTACCTTATAAGCATATTTGAGCCGCGCCATGACAAAACCTTTCTTGACAGTTAATTATTGTGGCCTATTAACATCATGCCGTAACGCCGTCGGAAGCGATATTTGATCTTTATACAGATAAAGAATTGTCATCGTTATATTATGTATTAAATCACGATTCGTTAATTGTAGCCAATTTAGAAAAACACTTAGTTTAACAATAAAGCGCGTGATTAGAAAAAATGGGAATAACTCAATAATGATCGTATATTGTTGCAACTCATCGGTACTATGAAGGAGCTCAACTGGGGTCCAATGTCTAGACCAAAAGCAGACGATATATAAATGTCGAAAAGAATTTCAAGTCACGTGGAGTCCCTTTTATGTTTCTTACATATCAGCTTGAAAATTCCTCAGCTTTATTGAGTAAGCGTGAAGTGTTTTTTTTTAGATTGTTTAGTTCTAAAATGTTAAAGGATTCTTTGGTTACGACTTTTATGCCAAATGATATAAATAAATTTCGTTTCATCTTCCTTACTTGAAAGATAAAGGATCGTCTTTAATGTGGTCGTTTTGTTTATTATATTATTTATGGCTATAGAATAATGGTACATTTATAAGATAATTACAATGGATATCCGGCATATCACTGTGTTTTATTTTATTCACTGACGTATGGTTTTCATCAACTGTCATTTTTACTTCAGATCTTAAACTATTTTGGATTCCAGACAACTCGATTTTCAACTGGGAGGCAAGGTTTGTATTTTTACCTGGTACTATGTGTCTTCAATTATATTGAAAACAGGTGTACTTTGTAAATTTTGGCAATTTTTCCTTATTGTAATGCTTATAATAAATTTAAACAATAAAGCGACCTCCCTTCACCAAAATAAATAAATGAAAATCAATTTATGATGAAATAAAATTCATTCAAAATGTAGTAATAAGGATTTTATAGGTTTTTTTTTCATTTAATATCATATACCTTTTGAATACGTTGATTGTATAAGCCTTTCATTTAAAATATAAATGTACATTATGAATACAATGATTAAAATGGCTTTTTCATTAAAATTCGCTGATTTTAAAAGCTTTTGAAATGTTCATTTGAAAAGAGATGGCTTATCTACTTTTCATTAGAAATATTTCCTTATATACCGAGATGTGCGTTTATTTATTTTTACCCGTTAAAATATGGTTCTATATCAGTGAAATATGTTTCATAACTGTTAAAAAGCAAATATGAAATAATTTAAATTGATATGAAATTGGAAGGAATCAAAACTCATAATAATTATTTTCAGGACTACTTTTTTATTTTTCTGTGGCAGTTAGTAGTTTCTGTGGTTATGTTTTCTCAAAGCTTTGATGAAGTGTTATTGACCTACGAATAATCCATGTATTACTATGGAATGCCGTGACCTTTCCTTGTACAATGTGTCTTTATATGATGTCAATATATCGTTATATGATGTGCATTTTTTAATAAATTATGTGGAACCATCCTTTAAGTTATATAAGGTCAAAATAACAAGGTCAAAATAACTATATATTATGTTATTCTGTCCTCATATGATGTCAGTCTGTTATGAATATAATTATTGTATGGAACCATCTTTATATAGAGTAAACAATATATATTTGAGCCGTGTCACGGCAAAACCAACATAATGGGTTTGCGACCAGCATGGATCAAGACCAGCCTGCGCATCTGTTCGCTTACAGACCTTATAACAAGTAAAGAAACTGATAGCGAAAAGCATGGATCCTGATCAGACTGCGCGGATGTGCAGACTGATTTGGATTCATGCTGGTCGCAAACCCATTATGTTGGTTTTGTCATGACACGGCTCATATGATGAAAATGTTTCCTTTTATTATGTCAATCAATCAATATACAATGTGTCTTTTCAGTATATTATGTGGAACCGGTCTTATATAGAGTCAAATCAACACTATATTATTTAGAATCGTCTTTATTGGCGTCCGCGCCGAAGCGCGGCGCCTATTGGAATGAAATGAGATTTTGTGAAAGGGCGACAGCAACTTCTCGAGCCTTTTATAGTTGCCAATAATAAAAGCCGATCATTCCGATCGGTATTAGGGTGCTTGATTATTAATTAGTCGCGATATGTACAATGAATGGCGAACTGGAAAATTTCGCAATGCAAACATTTTCAAATGAAATAACCTTTTCCGTCAATAAATCGCGCTCTTAGGGGTATTTTTGCTTATCATTTTGTAGTACACAGTGGGTTATTATGGTATGTTATTCCGAAAGCTGTTAATAGAATGATGAGTTGATGACCTAAATATTCCGAAAATCTATTTATAGAGGGATGTACTCCTATCGGTAATTCCCGGTCTCTCCCGGGATTTACTAATGACCCGCGAATAGTACCACATGTTTATTGTCCGGTCTCTCCCGGTTTTGGAGTAGATGTTTGATATGGTTACAGAACAGAACAAATATTTTACAGATAAATAAGCTTTGTTTCAAAATGAATGTTTGTCACTTAGTTTGGTTACAATAATTAATAAACACAGATCAACTCTCGAATTGATTGATTATTATTATACATAAACATACAATTCGAAAAAAAAACCCAACAACACAAATCGCATGTTATATTTTATCTATATGAGATAAAAACAATAAATATGTACAGTAATTCAGACAAAATGTACATTTTTATGGCATTAATATGACACTATCAACTTTAAAACATTTTATTTAATTTGTTATTCGTGTTTAGTAAAGATTCCAAGGAATTATTGAAAGCTACAAATCAGATTTTATGAATTATTCAATTGATTGATAATTTAAAAAATGATAAAGAAAAATACAAATGTACATGTATATGGTTTAAGAATAAACAATATTATATATTGAAAGATTAACCATGATTTACTGACTTTTTCCAGTTAAGTTTTGACCTATAATCGTCGATCATTATGACAATTGAATTCTTAAAATAGTAGTAAACGTAAAAACTCAGTATTAAAATAGCGCATAAAACACACACAAAAAAAGAAAAGAAAACAATATTCATAAAATCTGTATTTTTTTTATTAAAATAGAAATTACATTTATTGTATAATAAACAATTATGCTCAACATGATTAACATGGTAATATAACAAGTGTCATATTGTTACTTAGTGTGAACAGATACCTTAAGAGGGGGTCCTCGCTAATAGCGATAACATTATAAGGGACAATTACACAAGTATGGTGTTGATCATGCGTTACAGATATGGATTATAAATGATTGTATACATGTATATCCGTTGCTATTAATAACCACGATCATAAAGAAATAACAAGGAATATTCTAATGTCTAGCATGCCGATCAAAGTTATAAATAATGAACAATGTCTTTCGTCCGTTCATTCAAAAGTGATATACAATTCTGGTAAAACCCAAAGAACCATTAAAAAGTTTATAAGAATATCTTGTCATCATATATCTACTAGTTCATCTGCACCTGCTGTTTGGACGCCCTTTGATGCTTTGCATCAATGCTTTTCTTGTAAAGAGTTAGCTTAACAATATAATGTAAATGTGTCCTTATATGATGTCGATCTTTCATTATACAATGTGTTTAAATGAATATATTATGTAGCGCCATTTTTTATGTAGAGTCAAATCAACACTATATTATGTAGAATCGATTTTATAAAGAGTAAACTTAACAATTTGTCCGCAGTAAAGAACCGCCCTGGATTCCCTCAAGTCTTGAGATTTTATCACGTGTACTTCAACTGTTGGGATATAGACAGTCCCCGCCACGAACGATGCAATGTGGGATATTACCTGGTAAATTTAACCCTATCAGCATAATGACAAAAACAAACGATGTAATGATGTTTGCACTTCATATAAAGCAGTGGTCGTTTAAAAATAGATTCACATCGTGTAATGAAAGATTGACAAACTATATTGACTGTAAGTTGACTGTATATAATGATGCTACCAAATAATATACTCATAAATGCACATCTTATAATAGATTCACACCGTAAATTGGAAGATTGACATAATATATTTATAAGTTGACATTATATCAAGATGCTACCACACAATATACTCATGAATGCACATCGTATAATAATAGATTCACGTTGTATAATGAAAGATTGACATAATATATTGATAAGTTGACATTATATCAAGATGCTTCCACATACTATACTCATGAATGCACATCGTATAATAATAGATTCACGTTGCATAATAAAAGATTGACATAATATATTGATAAGTTGACATTATATAATGATACTACCACATAATATATTCATAAATGCACATCGTTTAATGATAGGTCGACATCTGACATATAAAGACACATTGACATCATATATTGTTCAGTTGAATTCATATAAGGATGCATCCACATAATATATTCATTAGTGCACATTGTATAAAGAAAGAGTGACACGACAACGTTCATGTTTATAATCACAAGACAGTCAATGATTTCCATATATTACTGCGCACTGTACAGTGGCAACTGCAAAACAAATAGGAGTTTTCGTAAAAACAACGACTGTATTGCCATCTATACGATTTAAGTCCTTATTGAACCCCACCCCTCCTCTTCCCCTGTTTAAATAACAATAATTGATAGAGCAAGCAGTACATGTATAAGATTGTTTCTTATTCGATAAATTAAGTCACTGACTATGTTTTGATAATTATTAATAAAGTTATTATTACACTTTTAAGCTCATTTCGAATGAAAGTATAATTTCAAAACGCCTCTTTCCGTTTTTTGTTGACTTTTTTGACGGAAATTAAATAAGATTGAGTTTTTAAAAACAAAAGCGTCTGAAACGCTGAAATGCTTTGCAATAAACTTTGACGTGTGATCAGATCTAGGCGTAAGCAATGATGGTACTCTGTATTGTATCATTTTTCTGGTAGACAAGACAAGCAGTGTCATAATTATATTGTTATTTACCGCAGTTTGTCCATTATCAAAAATAAATTCAGTAATTAAGGGGCTTTCTTGGCGGAATGGTTATGCCGTTTGACTTTAAACCTCTTGCACTTTGCCGCTGTGGGCTTGAAACGAGCAAGGGTCTTTGTATATTGTCATGAACGCGATTATCTGGCTAGCTTGCGAAATGCCGGTGCTCACCCGTGCCTTAAAAACGCGGGAAGGGTCATCGGACTTCTTTCTTCACCAATAAAGCATGAAAGTCGCTATGTGCAAATCAGTGTTTGGGGTTATTTAAAACACATCAAAATAAACATAAATTATGCAAATGTATATTAGAACCATTAATAGAATAATTGTCTTACGCAGTAATAGATATATGTGTTGTTTTTTTCTTTTTCTTTAGTTTCAGCATACTTACAGAACGTTCACAAGATTTATAAAATGAGATGTCTTGTCCTTCACAAAGAGAAAACACACCAATCCTTAAAGGAATATTTAACATCTGTAAGGAACGTACCGATAACAGACTTTGTGATTGTCACGGCTCGTATGGCGTTTATCCTTGACAAAATACATAATATGGATTTGACCATTGGGCGATTCGGAAACGACAATGTTCTAATAAATCCAGACACAAACAAGGTAAAACATTTATAATTTAAGCACATGAACTTGATTAACATATGCTATGAATAATCCATGGCTGTCTGTCGCTGGTTTTAAGCAAACCATTATCATCTCTATACTAAACTTATTGAGAATGAGATGTCCGTAAGTGTTCTTTTGAAGACTAAAATATTATTGTCACACAGGGGCAGCTCGTTAGTGGTCCGTCGTCAATCAAATGACTTCACTTCAGAAATAACATATGCATGAATTCATATCGTCTATAGTAGACCTCTACCAAGTTTGTTAAAATAGTAGCCCTAAGTGGCCCTTGATATATGAATCATTTCTTTAAAAAGCATCAGAGACTTTTGATAGCAACTAGCGAGTTCCATAGCAAACACTGACTTACATTGTTTCCTTAACAATCATTGATGATCATAGCCACAACTGCATTTCCATAGCAGCCATCCCAATAACAATTGGCATTCATGGCAACCATTGACTTTCCTTAGCAATTACTGACTTTTATTGTATCCATCTACTCCCGATAACATCGTAAAATTTGATTATTTCTTAAAGAGTTACCCGCACTTTCGCTATTTCAATTCCAAGTATGAACATTATGGTTTCAGTTTCATACTTGAACTTGATAATTGCTTTTCATTTATAGTAAACTACAATTTTATAAGTATCTTGTCAGATAGAGCCTTTATTATTAGGTGTACAGTAACAGGTTATCATGATTTTTTGTTTTATTTTATAAAATTGACATTATATATCAAAGTTTTACAAAGAAACTTTATTGACATTGTAAATCCTATTTTTGTCATTATAAGCATTTACCTCTTCGATTAAATATTTTTCGGTTTATTCTTTTAGGATACTCCGTCAATGTTAATTTATTAATGTTTACAATTATTCAGTCCAAATAACCATATAATATTGACAATTTGAAAACTGTTTAAGCCTCTAGCAGAAGGCTCGAGGCGGTTGCGTATGTGTTTCATTTTTTCTTATAGTCTCTTCTATAAACAAATAAAATCTGATTCTTAAACATGTTTTCCTTTGTCAAATATAATCCTTTTCCAAAACATCATTTTAAATGATTCACATTGGTTTAATCTGATTTATTTTTAGGCGATGAGACGACTTGTGATAAAAGGTTTACCACGTGAAGCTAAAGACGACAACGAAAAGAGTACAAGCGTGTATGATTTCGGTACCGTGATTGGTTGGATGCTGAAACGTTACAATGTACAGAAACTAAGAAGGGTCAATTATCCGGGTCAGGAGGCATAAAATGAGGACAACAACAACAACAACAACAACAAACGCTACTTGCTTAATTTAGATTTCTTATTTGTATATTTCAATATTGTTAAGTGTCAACAGTCTTGTATTGATTTTGTTCATGCGTAATTTTGTCTTTTAATCGTCTTTATAAAGCTTTTATTGAAATAGAGTAGGATGGAAAAACACAACACTTTATCATCTTTTGTTTTGTTACTTTGGTAATGTCTTTATCTAGTTAAAATACATTTTGATACTTCTGACTGTTGCAAAAACGTTTTACCTTCTGTGGAGAGCACAATTATACTTTCTTAATTGTAACATGCGAGGTACTTATCATCTAAAACACAAAGGTTGAGTGTGAAGTTATTAAAGATACACATAGCAAAGGTAAACATATTAGTCATTTGACTTCCATACAAGAAAACTAAATCACCTTAGCTGTAAATATTGCAAAAAAACTGAAGACTCCAAATATGGCCATTGTGTTACTTTTGAAGTATAGGACAAAATAAAAGTTTTTTACAAATAAAAAGATACCAATTTTCAGGTCTAATGACCTTGTACAAGACTTGTCAATGTGACTTTATCTCTCAAAGAAATGAAAATCAATCTATAAACTATAAAATATATCTATAAATTTAGCAGTAAAGAGAAACTTTACGTAAATTTGCTTATCCAAAAATGGACTTCTTTAGGTACATATTTTAGAAAGAAAATGGTTACCACGACAATCTATGCAGCGATTCACGGAGCGCTTTGAAATGGATGTATACATATTATTATTTATTACACTTAATAATTGTCTAATTGACGAACGGTGTGGCGTGAAAATGTATCATAAAAGCGCATGCCATAAACTCTATATATCCTTCTATACTGTGTAACATCTTTTGACGTCATATAACGGAAAACAATTTTGAAACAATGAATATTCATACAAGATGTCACTAAAATGATTGTTAATAGCTAGCATTGTTACATAATAATATAGGCTTTTTTTATTTAGATCAAAATCGCTACAAACGACGTATCCGTTAAGGCGTAAATAAAAAGAGAAGCTTAAAAGTGTGTACCTTTGCATACTTGGCGCTATGCTAACCAATGTATATGATATCCATAGAAAAAACTGAAAGTTTGTTTCCTGTTGTTTTTTTTAAATAACACTGAATAACTGAGTAAGAGATAAAATGTTCACCTTTATTAACGACAGAAATATCACAACAAAATTTTATTGCTTAAATTTTCAAATAAAATTGTTCGATGCGTATCAAATAGGGAAAAAAAGAATAAAATAGCTGTAACCAAGTATAATAATTTGCTGAAAAAAGCACACGTCAAGTTAAAGTTTTCACTTAAATTAACAGGAAAGAAATACACCTTTTTAATATTTCATTGTTACAGGGTTTTACATACATTTTACATACATGTATATACATTTTATAGACTCGCAGAAAAAATATGCAAATGATTTTGTTTGATTCTTCTTTTTTTCTAGATTTTTTATCGTAATTGCAATTGAAAGATCAAAGGTGAATGTCTGAATTTTAATTGAAAAAATACAAGGTGCTCTATTGGCTCTGTCATTGCCCATTGTCGCCTCGCCCGTCCATCCGCCCTCCCGTCAGTTAGCATTAAGGGGTGATATTTTTATCAAAGTACTTACTAGTTTTGGGTGAAATATTTCTTTCCGGGCACAAGGTTGCCTGTGCTGTTAATAACTACATGGAGAACGTCCGGCGGCCAAGATATTTCAGATAGAACAGTATATTTCTACAACACTTTATACATAGATATAGGACAATTGAGAGCATGCTTGGTTTTTTATTTTGTTTTTTTTTAAAGTGCGGTAAAGCCTGTTGGACTTTTTTTAGGTCTTCTATTGCTTGGCTATATTTTTTTTTTGCCATTTAACGTTTGTCATTAAACATATTTAAGTGCCATTTAAAAGCTGTTTAAGAATTCAAGTTAAAACTTAATACATGTATTTAAGAAAATTAGTGTTACATGTTGATAATTGTGAGATAAATTTGTTTATAATGTCATTGTTGTATTTTTATGACATAATTATATTTATAGCATTTACGTATCACGTGTCCGGCTTTTAATTAATGTTGATTAAATATTGTGGTTATTAAATGTATCGTGTATATTCAATTGGTTTTGTTGATTTACTTACCAGCATGGATCAAGACTAGCCTGCGCATCCGCGCAGTCTGATCAAGATCCATGATGTTCGCTTACAAACTCTATAGCAAGCAGAGAAACCGATAGCGAACAGTATGGACCCTGATCAGACTGCGCAGGCTGGTCTGGATCCATGCTGGTCGCAAACGCATTATGTTGGTCTTGTCATGACGCAGCTCATATAACTTTCAAACAGATCATACAATTATTACGTTTTTTTAACATTTTGTTATAAAGTTAACTGACGCAGTATGGTAAAAAGAATGTAAACATGTTAAAACAGAACAAACAAGGAAAATAAACAAATACATGTACACCATTTATCATGATAAAATATACGTATTTAAAACAAGGCTGAACGAATTTCTGAAAATTTTTCTCATGGTCAAATGAATTTCAGATGTTTACATTAGCCTTTTTTGCAGAGAACATAATTATATATGGAGGCATGGTTGAAGTCAATAGTGTAAAAGCTATCTTAAAAACTAACACTGCCAAACCCCCGACAAAAGAAGAAATAAAAATGTAATGAAATGCAAACTAATTTCCTCTACCAAGCCGAGCTAAAAATAAACTATTATCTGCGCATTCTCTGCTGTCGATTCGATGAGGGGAGCGGTGGCATAGTAGTTAAGGTGTCTGCCTTTCAGCCAAGAGATAATGGGTTCGAGCCCTACTCGGGTTACGACCGTGCTTCATTATATGTCACCAGTATTGGTTTGTTCCAGGAAGCGGACTCGAAAGTCATTTAAATAAGTTGCAAGAACTTGTTTCGCAATCGAGCTTAAATAAATATGTTTAAATATCACCGTACAACATACCAAACAAAACATTTATACAGTTTAGATAAACTTTATTCTAGAATGTCCACATTAACATAGAATGAGAATTTATGACAAACAAAATATTCTTTGCTATAAGTAGAATCAAATTTTAACTGGATTCAATTCTTTAAAAATGTTGAAATACAGTTAATATGCTGCTTTGGAATGATATTTTTCTTCACATTATGCAGTGAAAGGGAGATAACTGGCTTTTATTTGGAAACAAAATTGTTTCAATACCGTCGGATTACGAAATGTCGGAAAAGAAATGTCAAAGTAAATGACATAGTCATATTTTAATGTTAGTACATATTTTTTCCAATGCACAGTTACAATTTACGCTAAAACTATTCATGTTATTTATCTGGACTTCATTTTCCCTAAACTTAAAACAACAGGTAACATACAGGATAAATTGTTTTAGTGGAATGTATTTTGACGAATTATTTTAAAAACAAGTATCTTTTTTTTTCTATGAAAATAGTTCAGTATAGTGACCTTAGTCGAGGCCCCAATGGCATAACGGCATAATAAAGGAGTCTGCAAAATTGTATTCACACATGAGATTTAACACTTATCGAGCTAAAGCCGGAAGTGATAAGCCTAGAGGTAGGTCAGCCTCTATGTCCGTGTAGTGTGGCCAGGCTCTGTATTATTTGTAGCTAATATTTTGTATTTTAGTACCAAAATCCCTTAAACTTTGAATGGACTGTTCCGTTTAAAAGCAGGAAAAGTCCTTTAAACAAGTATATATGTTATACGTAAGGGTTAAAAATCAATAAAGCAAGCACAGGACGAACCCTTAAAAAGGCGAGGGAGATCTGTGAATATTGTTTAGTCTATAACAACCAAAACTTATCTTATTTATGTAGTTAAACTAAAATTCTGTGTTATATCTTATATAATGCATTTTTTGTACACAATTTCATACTACTTATAACATATACATCATTTATATAAATCTAAAGCTGTTTATCCTTCAGTCGTTTCAGTCAAACTATTCCTGCCATACTGACACTACTGGTACAAGTTCTAGCGTTAATCGAACAAAGAACTTGACTTTTGGTTAAATTTTCACTGGTCGCTTTTTTCTCATAAGAAAAAATTCAGTTTGGATAACTTCTTTCATAGCTCCGCGAATATTGGTGATTATCTGAACATAGCAAAATTATAAACTCGATGTATGCATCCATAAAATATCTGCCACAAAAGTTATAATGTATATAAAATGTTTTCATATGTTGAGTGAAACTGTACATTATTTCTGGTCTGAATGGCTTTAGTACAAACATATAACTTACTCATACAAAATACCAACATGAATATATACAATACAAAAAGGTAAAACAGTCAATACTGTCGTAAAAGTATATGTTTACAAATTGATTGCAAAATACCCATAAAAATTAAAGTAACAATAACCATAATTTTGTACAACCACCGCTGAATTACATAGTTACAATAATACTGTAAGCTATAAGCTGGTATAGTATCTAACCGCAAAACTTCAAAATATGAATATTTACAAACAAATATTAAACAATATAACCCGTAGTTCAGCACAAAGGGTCCGCACATTGAATAACATCAATGTCTATTCCATTACCGATACAATTATAAAAGAAACACACAAGAGAAAAATTCCAGATATAAAAAAAACCCAGATACCGGATACAAAGTCCGGATACGTTATGGGACATATATTTCAGATCAGTATTTTAATAAAAAATGAAAATTTCACACAATTTATACATCAAATAAATGGATTTAATATATATAGCTTTGTAGCTGCAATTCCTTTAAAAGTTTCCTTCAAAGTACTACTATCCAAATGCTTGCACACAAATTAGGATTCGAAAAAACGCAGTAACCACGCTCATGAAGAGATAAAGACAAATCTTTAAGTAGTCAAGACTTTTCTATGTCGTCTTCTTCTTTATTAAAGTAAAAATCCTTTATGTAATTTTTTGACTGATTCAGAAGGATTGAACGCGAAAGAAATGCTCGTTTCC